CCCTTCCAACTCAGGATATTCTGTGTTTCTATGATTCTACAGATTCTCAGGTTTCTGCTGCTCACCCTTAATCACCTCAGACTGAGCCACTGCCCTAAACAGGATGTGGGTTCTGACATGGCAATATATTTAATAAACTTAATTGCTGTCATTAATATGAGCCAGGGAAACATTAAAATGTATCAAGCTGCAGCAAAATCACTCCACTCTGTAGTTACCTTTATTTTCCATGCCCTTTTTGAAAAGTCATCAGTGGAACAATCAAGCAGAACACTGCACCTTTGCAACACACCATGAATAGTGCAAACCTCACTGAAAGATACACTAAAAAATAAGCAACTTTTCCAGTGGAAAGCATAAGTCACCTGTATATTAAGCTGGAGAAATCTGAATAAATGGACTGTACAGGCTGGGGTGGAATCATTATACCAGCAAATCTCACATATTGTACTATTTCAGCTACCATAGTTCACTGCAATTATTAGCCTCCTTTTCTGCCAACTCTGAGTTTAGCATACCGTCCCTCTGCCAAGGCCATTTGATTATAAATAGCAAAACATCACGTAAATGCAGGCATGTGGGGAGCAGATACAGCACAGAAAAGCTGGCCATTGGGAAGAAGTATTTACTTTTACCAGGGTCTGTTCCTGTGCACACATTTAATCACGCAAATATCTGTCTATTCTAGAGAAGTTTTCCAAAATTCAAAGAGATTATTAACCTTAAAGGCATAAATGTAATATCTTGCAAGATCCAGTTCCTGCAAGCCCTGTTTGGAAGTTTTAAATAAAAACATAGTAATAAAAATAAGAGGCGTATTTTGGAATTGGCTTGTTCTTCCTAAATGTTACATAAGAAACAACAAAGCCTCATGGCAATGTCATGCACAGCTAACCACTTTTATCACAATCGGATATTGTGATAACTTACAAAATAAGTGTTGAGTACTCCTGATTCGATAGTTTTCTTCCTAATTTGTGGCTTAATGCAAAGATCTGATACTGTAAGGGAAGATACCACAGGAGGAAGAAAAAGAGAAAGCTGGAAAATGTTACTACGTGGAGCTCATTCATCATCTGTGTTAATTATCCACCAGTTGCACAGCACCAGTGACTCAGGTAGGTCTGTGTTTTGCTGGTGAGACAAGGAGACAAACCCCAAATCTCACTAGAGTCTGGCAGAACTCCCATCAACTTCAGTGGAATCGGGATTTCACTTCATGACAATGCTGGGGTTTGAAGATGCTTCTCCAGTTGCATTGTTTGTGCAGACAAAGGAAGTGCTTTTTATGAGATGCCATTAAGGGCTACTTGCAGTGTGAGCACTTTGGAAAAGCAAATAATTTATGGGGCCCCTTGAAGTCTGCTCTGATCACCTCTTCCCACTAAGCCAATAGTCTTAGGTACCTCACTACCATGGATAACTCACAGGGAAGACAATGCTGTGTCAGCACTGTGGAAGGTGATGTGGCTAATGGGGGCTGAAAATGGGTACACTGAAAAACACATGCTCATCTGAGAAGGTGGTGTGAGATGCCCCCATTGTAAAAGGTGGAATCATGAGAAGAACTCAAACCAGATTCCTGGAAACTTAAATACGACCAGGCTGAGAGAAGGACACAGATGACCATTGAGGGGAAACGCAAAGATCTACTCCTCCTCCACCAAAAAGGCCTTTCCCTCCTTCCAAGAGCAGGAGAGAATGCCATTGCAACAGATGTAATGGATAGAATGAGAGAAGAAACAGCAAAAACCTCACTATTTCCTGATACAAGCAATCTGTGTGGAAAATGATTCTTGAGCAATGCTTTGGCAAAAGGAGATCCCATCACTACCTCTGAAATAACAGATAACATTTGGGTAAGTAGCCTAGATTATCCAAAAAGGTATTTATGACTGCAGTATCCAAACCCTCCATAAGATCACTGCACCACTCTCCAGAGAGGTCCATAACAGCAACATCTGTGTCACAGGAAGCTTTGCAGAGCAAGGGGGAATGAGCCATTGAGTTTTGCTCACGAGCACAGTGGTGAGGACAGAGGCAGATCTGAAGCCACAGCTCTGTAAACCTCCCTGCTTTGCTTCCACTGCACAACTGTCACAGAATTACAGAATCATGGAAAGGCTTGGGTTGAAAGGGACCTTAGAGATCATCTAGTTCCAGGCTCCCTGTCCTATAATACACTGGCACATACTGCCTCTGTGTCAAGGGGAGGTGGATTTGGGATGTGGGGTGGAAACATGGTGCATATCTGAAACCTCCCTACTGCAGTGCCATTTGCATGTCTGACATTTCGAATGGTGACCCTCAGCTGTGCTTTACATGGCTGGGAAGCAGCCCTTCAAATGAACCACTATCTGGCAAAGTCAGCCTGGCTGAAGAAGACCCCCTGACACAGAAATGGGGGAAGACCCTCTTGGGAGATTGTTTTCACATCAAAGAATGAATTCTGTAGAAAATAATAAGAATTATGGAGCAGTCTGTGAGTTTCCATTGGCCCTTGGCCATGACATGCAAAAGAAAAGAAAAAAAAAAGAAAAAAAAAAGGAATGAAAATACTTTTATCATTTTGTTCCTTTTGGAGGGCCCAAAAGCTGTGTGTGCTGCAAGTGCCACGTTTCTTTGTTGCACTCCAGCAACCAACACAGATGTAGCAGGGCCAGGAGCTGGATTCATTCGTTTTGTGTATCTTGGATGTAAGGCTTTGGAAAATTTGCCTTTGAGTTGTACAAATGGTCACCTCACTCCCTGCTGGGAGTTGCATTCCCATTGTTTATTCTGCATTTCTAATATTGAGTTCTGTAATATTTAATTCCCAAAGCTCAGATTTTTCTTCATCTCCCAAAAACTGGATTTTGTTTCTCAGATTTTCTTTTTGTCACACAAACAGTACAAGAGGAAATGGTATTTGGGGCAAATGTATAGTATAAAAACAGTCTAATATGCACATGGGAAGAAAATGTCATGCCATTGACTTTTTTCTGTTTCTGCTATTACAACAACAAAAATAATATCTCACCTCATATATAACATTCCCTTCCCTAAAAGACCTGGACTCAGAGCCCATGTGAGGGTGCAGGTGGTAGTGTGGGATGATGCTCTCAGTCACTCAGAGCTGGTCAAAAGTAAATGACCCACTCTTGTTCCAGCTACACAAACCTTGAGTAACGTTGATAAAGTCACTTATATGAAAAGGCATCATCTAATTTAAAGCACTTTAGGGAGGTCTAAATTACAAATGCAGTCAGATCAAGTACTCTTCTGTAGGCCCTGCAGAGAGACAGCACTGCTACTGCTAATTCACACAACTCATCCCTCTCTAGCCTATCTCTTCCATTCAACAAGAGGAAAACCAGCATGTGGAACCAGCTCCTTACTGCAAGCAGGAGGTGGACTGTTTGTGAAACACAGATGAGGATTTCCTGCTTCATGGGATGCTCTAAAGGGCTCCGATATCACCTTGGCAAGGACCTCACGAGCAGGTTGATATCCAGCCTTCTGCACACCTGCAGAATTTGACCTTTGGCCCCCAGCTACGATTTCTGGGTTCAATCATTTTGTCATGTGCCACTGCTGCACTACAGTCAACATACACAATTCAGCATTTTACTAATCCTTACACAGATACTCAACAGGTTGGTGCATGAGATTAAAGTCCATCACAGTCTTCCAGGAAAAACTGGATGACAAAGGCGGGGTTTTTTTTCAATAAAAGCACCAAATCATAGAATCATAGAATCATAGAATTGATTGGGTTGGAAAAGACCTCCAAGATCATCAAGTCCAACCCCTGATCCAACTCCAATTACTACATCATGGCACTAAGGGCCACATCCAATCTCTGCTTAAAAACCTCCAGGGATGGTGAATCCACCACCTCTCTGGGTAGGCTGTTCCAATGCTTGATTACCCTCTCTGTAAAGAATTTCTTCCTAACATCTAACCTAAACCTCCCCTGGCAGAGCTTGAGCCCATGTCCTCTTGTCCTATTGTTGGTTGCCTGGGAGAAGAGCCCAACCCCCACCTGGCTACAACCTCCCTTCAGGTAGTTGAAG